GCTGTGGTGACAGCAAAGCTCCCTGTGCCCACCAACCAGGGCACAGCACCTGGGGGGCACAACCCAAAGCACCACAGACACAGAGCACCCAGACCCTGCCCGAGGACAGGACAGCAGGGAAGAGCTGCTCACCTCTATGGATGCCATGGCTGAGCTGGGGCGAGGTGGCAGGAAGCTCCTCGCTGCCTCCTCTCCTCTCCCGTCCATCCCTGGATCACAGCGACCATCAGGGAAGAGCTGCCCCCCTCTACGGATGCCATGGCTGAGCTGGGGCGAGGTGGCAGGAAGCTCCTCGCTGCCTCCTCTCCTCTCCCATCCATCCCTGGAGTCACAGCGACATCCCAGCTCCTGGAGGGCTCCCCCTGAGCATGGAGAGGCACGAGGATCTATCCCCTCTGATGGAAATGCTGCTGTGCTGGGCAGACTTCTAAATGGCAGCAGGGGAACAAGGCAAGGATGCAGCCAGCCCTCCGCACCCCACAGCCAGGAAACCACCCGCAGGCTGGAGCAAAGGAAGGAAAAAGGTGAAACAATATGTGGGGCAGGACACCGCCCTGCAGCCAGAGCTGGGTCAGCCCCAGGAGCTCGGGTCACCATCACTGCCCACCGACAGCCTCCTGCAGCACCCATCGTGTGTAAAAGCACCTTCTGCAGGAGGGAACTCGGCCCGTCGAGTTCCCCCAGGCTTGGTCACCCTGTGCTGTGTCCCAGGAGGGTCTGTGACTCAGGACACCACAACCCAACACAAGCAGGAAAAGAGAGCAGGGAATTTCTCATTGGTTCAGCACAGCAGCAGGTTCCCTCCACATGAGGGACTTTTGAGACCCTCACTGGGGTGCAGACCTTGTGCTGGGGGGCTGCAGGCTGGCACCACATCCAGCTCCCTCTGCCACCCTCAGACAGGCTGTCCTGCTCTTGTTTTTCCAGGAGGTCACCAGAGAGCTGCTCAGGTCACCACCAAGGGATCAGCAGAAGGACCAGGCAGGTCTCCAGCATGAGCACTGTTCTACAAACCTGAGCACAGCAACAGCAAAGGGTTGTGCTCACCCTTGGGGTAGTTTGGGCAAAGGACCAACCCATTGCTCAGAGTCAGAACTCTTGGCTCTTTGTTTGGCCACCACGCTAATTAGCCTGATGAAGCTATTCATTAAACAGAGGGTAACAATGCCAGGAAGCAAGTGGAGCACACATCTCCTCACACCCACTGGCACGTCCCACTCAGCTCCAGGGCTTCTCCTCCCTCCTGCCCAGGCCTGGGTGAGGGAACACACAGCCCCTCTGCTCCTCCCTGCCCGTGTTCCTGGTTCCTGCCCCCGTGCTCCTCTGGCTTCCAACCTGGGAATGTGCCTCTGCATCACGTTTCCATGGCAACTTCAACTCACATCATTGCTCAATATTGTTCTTTTCCATGTAACAAGAAATCCCTGCTGCTCCTTTAAACAGCTCATGATCATTTGTGCTCCAGCAGAACATCCCTCAATCAGCACCACCCTGTACAAACCAGAATCAAATGTTTGTGCTCTGGTACAGAAGGGCAGATGAAAAAGAGTGGGATGTTACTCAGATGGATTCTTGTCCAGGCACCTACCTTAGGAAACAACCACCAAGAACTGGAGCCTGCTCACACCTTCCCTGGGCACAGGCAAGCCCAATCCCACCTTGACATGCAGGCAGCTGCTCTGGGCAGGGCTCAGTCCATGCTGGGAATGTCTCCCTGGAGCCTCCCTGCAGACCAGGCACCAGGGCAGGAAGGGCATGTTCCCACCCACCTGCCCCAGACCAGCCCTGGGGCAGGGCCAGATCCCCAGATGCTGTGGCTTCCTGCAATAACATCTGTGATTAAAACCTGGTATTTTGCCTAGAAACAGCAGCTACTCAGTCCACAGCCAAGTTCTGCAATGCTTTTAGCAGACGTGACCAAAACCCTCATTCTTCATCCCCCCCTGCCCAAGCAGCCCTGAGCCCCCTGGCACAGGCTGAGCCTGCAGCCCAGAGCTCTGCTGCCCTCAGAGGAGCTGCTACAGGGAAACCCCAGGTCCTTCCCCATGGACAGACTCAGGGTTAAGAAAGTATTTGCCACGCAAGGCAAAGCTACTGTAGTGAATTCAGTCCAGTTGCCTTCCCTTCTTGCTGGGCTGGAAATTAGTCTCCACATCAGGGAGTGTGCAGGCAGTTTGCAGACTGAAAGGGGTTCCTGTAAAATTGATCTGAAAGAGCCACTACAGAAGAGGTTCTCAAGAGGCCTGAGACACAGAGCAAAGACAGACCAGACATGGCTCCCGGGCAGAATTTAGCCGAGGGCTGGAGTAGTGAGTCCCTAACTCCATGATCCCCAGTAGACAGCCTGCCTTGGGAAACACACAGAAGAGCAGGGAAGAGAAACAAAAGCTGGCCAGGACTTACACAACCCTGTAAGCCACCCATGGTGCAGCTCAGAGCTAATTCCATTAGCTACCTTCCCAGAAAACATGCGTAAGCTGGAGGGGAACTTGCAACATCAAGGAGAGAGATAAGCTCCAGCAGGGCCTGATACCGAGGTCAAAGCCAAGCACAACACAGATCTGCTCATGAAAGTAACACACCAGGCACCTCATGGGGTCAGACCCTCCCTGCCAGCACTGGTTCCCATTTCTCTCACAATCATTTATTTGCTATCTCTCAGTTTTTACCACAGCTCTCTTGCAATGGTGCTAAGAACCAGGAGCATGGGGAGTCAGAACAGTTTCCAGAAACATTAAAGCCAGCAACCTGCCTGGTGCCAGGCTCAGCACACCTCGCCTGCCCTCCAAGCTCACTTCAGGTGCTACAGTGCAGAGACAACTGAATTAGAATAGGAAAGTGATTGACAGAAGCCAGAGTGTGCTCTCAGGGTTCAGGCTTTTAAGAACAAGCCTTTTAACAGTTCTGCAACAAGTGTTGTGAAACCGGATGACCACAACTTACAGGCTGGACAATGATCCTAGAGCAAGACTCCACTTCCCACCCTGAAGCTGGATGTGTGGCCTCTAGCCAATAGACCTTGGACATGCTGTGTTTCTTGTTAATTCTAAGTTAATGCTGCAGGACTTTACACAAGACTTGAATACACTCAGACCATACCTGACAGGAAACTGTCAGAAGGTAGAGACTGATGCAAATACAAATATTAGAAACAATATCTGAAATTAAAAAAGTTTATTGGAAGGTTTGTAAAACAGGAGTGACAGACCAACATTTCCAAGACACTATATGATAATGCATTTTCCTATTGTTAGAATTTTTAAAAAGTCAGTCCTTCAACTATCTAAACAAAAGCATACATTTATGGACCAAACATTTTACTTCCAACACAAAGAACATACTTGAGTTTGCAAGTCAGACTAATCAATTGCACCAGCACTAGGTGATCACAGCCCTCACGGGCCTGAGTCTGTGTTTGTCATTACTACACAATGAAGCAGGTTAGTGAGGCAAATTTTCATGTCAGAACAGACCCACAAGCACTGCAGAGGCCATACACTGAAACATCATGCATTCTTCTTACATTCCACTGATGAAACAACAGTAGCAAGCCAGAAACACCAGAGAGCTCCCAGAGACTCCAAGCTTCCATTTCAGGACAAGAAAATATTCAGAACTTAAAAATGCCAGTTCTATTTTAAACACACAACTTTATTCACTTTATGTTTACATCATTTGTGCAATAGAGACATGTGCAATAGAAAGGTGAAGAACAAGGTGTAGAAGACAGCATCACAAGCCCCAGGCGTCAGGTGACACCTCACACCGCCTTCCGGTGATACTCAGGGGGGGCCACTTCATAGTCACTGGCACTGAACAATGCAGAGGAGTTCTTTGCTAAATACCTGTGAGAAAGAAGGACAAGATTCAATTACCTTCTTGCCTGAAGTCTCCACTGGTTAGCACCTCGTGGGACATCACTGTTTGCCAAGACCACCACACACAACTTCAGGAGTACAAATCTGAGGTATTTACTAAAACATCAGCTGTGTCAGGCAATTCAAGACTTGAGAGCTCAGGCCAAAAAAACCAATTCCAAGCAAGTTGTGCAGCAATTCCAGCTCCAGGTGAGCACTGGGAGGTGCAGATTAATGGTTCCTCCAGTGCTGTACAGATGTGGAAGCTGCTGGTCATGCTGGTACAGACAGGCAAACAGCTAGGACACCTCAGACACTCAGCTGAGGTTTAATTCTATTTAAGCACCTCACATGCAGGAACATTTACAGGTTAATTAAGCAGCACATGACCCACAGTTCCCTACAGCTGTAAGGAAAATAAATGTCTGAGTTGTTGTTTTTTTAGAAACATATTTTGCATTTAAGTCTTGTATTATTTAGGGGGATGTTTCAATCTTAAATAAGATCTACAGCAGCATGGCACTGTGCAGTGCACTAAAGCTACAGCTGGTCCCAGAACCACCAGAAAGATTCATCACATTTTAATGTTTGCTCAACTGTTGTTGAGTAACTGTCAGGTCACTGGGTAGCCTGCTGTAATTGTCATCTGCTGTTTATAGCAACAGCTACATCAGCACACACTGAACTAACACAAACTCCAGTGTGAGTTGAGAGGAGCTGAACCCAGCCTGACTCAGGTTGCTGTGCAGCAGAGTCTGAGGAAGCTTCACTGCAACCTCTGGTGAACAGACCATGCATGAGCTGAAGATGTCTATGTCTATATAGATGGTATTTAACAATCTTTCACTGAACAGAGGCTGCTTTACAATACCCTGTGCCTACTGAACTTCATCTTTTGTGCTGAGAGACCCAAAAAGTACTTACTTTAAGAAGTCATGCAAATAGTTTAAGAGCAAAGCCAGGCTCTTCTCATCCAGAGGGGTGTAGGCCAGCATGGCTCCGATGCGCACTGTTTCAAGAGAACCAGCAGCTTTAGCAAGTGTTTCAGCACAGCCTAGAACCTTATTACAGTGAAATAATAAAAGCAGCCCAGGAACAGAGTCCCATATATACAAGCTCATCTAAAGTAACTGGACTGTTGAAAATCCATTTCCATTCCAAATCCCTGAATGGCTCTGAACATTTTAGGTGGACAGAGCAGGGAAAGGATGAGACCAGGCAAGGATGAAGCCATGTATTCCACAGGTGCTGCTCAAATTTCTGCAGTTTACATCCAGACATTCAAACCAGGACAAGGAAGTATGTGAACACTTCTAACAGCTCCTTCCATCTCTCAGGATCCTACTCACCAAATAACCTCAGTAGGTGTGGGGCACCATAAACTTGGGACATTGGAGCATCTGGGTGATCTGCTAAGATTTCAGCATATTGGGGCCTCTCAAACTTGTAGAGTAGTTGAGTTCCCAGCATGACATTGAAGTATTCTTTAATTCCAGCCACAACTTCATTGACTGCATACTCCCTAGGAAACAGAAACACTGTCAGTCTTGTTCTAGTGACTGATGGACACAGGATGAGGGTTGGCTTGGTGAGTCCAACAACATTTTCTGCAAGTCTTTGGACTTCAAGGAAATATGCCTGGAGACACTGAACTACACAGCCACAGGGGTGATGCATTTCAAGATCTTTAAGAACCAACTGCTCTGAACTCAGTAAGAATCTCAGCAAATCAAGACAAGCCCTGCCTCTAAGTCACCCACTCAGATAAATCAACTCTGACAGCAGTTCTTTCAAAGCAATTCTCTCTAAGGACACTCACCAGCTCCCGTTTCCAACCAGTTAATCCCAACTCACCTCAGTTCAGAAGTACAGTACTACTTTAAGTAACCAGACTGAACTCCTGCTCATCAGCAGGAGGGGACAGACACCCAGTATTTCAGGCCCTTCCTAACTAGGCCTCCCAATGCCAAACTCTTACAGGCCTCCAACTTCACAACTGATTGCAGAATTACTGTAGGAATTAGCAATGACACTGCAAATCTGAGAAGCAGAACCCTCACTCCACCCTGCAAACAAATTTAGACCAGACATTAGGACAATGGCACAAAAGAATGTTAAAACACCCTGACAAGTCAATAATTTGCTTCCTCTTGAATGGAAGAGAGTAACTTCACATTCTAGTTTCTCTCCCTTTAGAACAGGAAAGCTTCATTCAAGAATAAACACACCTTGTTTGCTGTCAGGGCTGGACTGCTGGGGTAATTAAAAATAAGATCTTCAAAGCTATCACCTCAGGTAATTAGCTCTGCCCATATGATTCTTCTTTTAAAAGTCATCTAGGTCCCTATCCCCCACCCCTCTATCTTTGGGGGGGGTGTCCACCCACACAGTAACACTGCTCACCTGCTAAGGAGCTTTTCTGGCTGGTCCATGGCAAGTGCCAATGACTTTATTCACCCAACTGGGAAGCCTGAGCTAGAATGAAGGGGTGGAAAACTGCCCTCTTGGCTGGTGTCAGCTTTCTTTAGGAAAAGGCTTAGGGAAGGTGGGGAAACAGAAATCATCCCAGAAACATAAATGCAATTTTGATTTACCTCCTCAAAGATTTCTAACCTCCTCAAACACCAGGGTCTTGGAGCATGAAGCTGGACACAGGGCTGGGACATGTTCAACCATCTCACTAAATTTTCCATGGAATTCAAGTCCAACAACAACAGCAGAAGTATTTAAGGTTGGAAATTATGGCTACTTACTTGTTATCAGTATTTCCTCGTGATTTTTTGTAGTTTGCATAATCCTCTAAAATGGAGTCAACATTTTTCTTGGCAGGAAGATAGAAGAGCTACACAAGAAGCAAAACCAAACAAACACAAGTTGTCTAATCCATGGAAACACTTCCATCTGTGTGCTAAAACTTAATCAACCTACATAAAGCCATTTCCAGGATAACATTAACAGGTTAAGTGTTATTAAAGGATCACTGAAGTGGTGTAGTTGTGCTTACCTCAAAACCTAACAGTGACTATATCCAAACCAGTTTGGGTCTTTAGCACCACACCCCATCAGCTGCACCCACAGCTCAGCTGCACATACCCAGGCTCAGAAGTGCAGCCAATTCCCATACTTGGGTTTTTCTGTCTTTGAGGCAAGGGCCTTAGTTCACTCATCTGTTTCCTTCCACAGGAGCTTTACAGCCTAGAGGCATTTGAGGGGTGTGGAAGGGAACCAAAGCAAGTCTCCAGAACTGGAGTTAGTGTAACACTCAGTGGTGCTTCAGCACCATCACTGCTGATGCAAGTTTAAGATTTGTGTTCACCAAGAATAGTCAGCTTATCCACGTGGGACTTGACCAAGATTTTCATGTGTCTGGGAACAACAATGGAGAGAGTTCCTCAGAGTAGCAGCAGGTCAGAGCATGTAATTGCAACCTCCTCAACAGCAGTTTTCAACAGTATTTTCTATGCTTCTTGCTGATTTTAGTAAATACCTTCACACAAGAAACAAATCATGATTCATTAATATATTGAGTTCATGAGAGTGTTTTATCTTTTTAAATGGAAATGAAATTTTATTGACTGTATCAGGAGGCTTTAAATGGATCCAGCCTGGGAGCAGCTAAGCATCCCTCTCTCAAGCAACAGCTTTCTGTCAGAGCTGTAGAACCACTGGAGATACCTGCAGAACTCAGCAGTGAGTGGCACAGACAAGATAGGAAGGAGATGTGGTGAAATGATCATCATAGCCTGTTCCTACAGACCAGTTCTCTACCAACCATGCAAGCTGTTCCCAGCATACCAGCAGGCAAAGCAGGCACAGAGTTAACACTACATTTAAAGCTTAAGTTTTTAAAGGTATTTAAGTTTTAAAAAAGCCTTTCTAGCTTGTGCTCAATTCAACCAAGTCTATTCTACAAATTCACAAGCACAGCCCCACTCACAAGTGACCTCTGGGCAAAATCCAGCTGGAATGAGAACTGCCAAATAAGCCAGCAGGCTGCTGGCAAACTCTGCAAGAGATTTCACTACACTGCACTTGAAGAGGAGAGGAAATCCTAGTGTTAGTGCCCTTGCTTATACATGGCCACACTGTTCTTCTGAGAAGTTACCTGCTTTTGCCTGGTGATCAAGTCCCAGTCATCTACCAGCCATGGCTTCAGCTCTTCTGGGATTTTCACCTTTACTTCAACTCTGTTCATAAATGTTTCTTCCTGAAAATTGAAGCCAGACCAATTACTTTCAGGTAACTGTCACAGCTAAGAGCCACTGAAATACATCACTGGACTGAGGAATTACTGCAGTAATTCCTGTAGGTTCCACAGGGAACAGTTTAGATTTTTCAAGGCCACTTGGGAACCCTAGCTTTGGAAGTTGTAGCATTTCACACTGCAGGACAAAGCATTGCTGTACTGCTGAGCAGAACACCAAGTTTCCCATCAGAAATACATACACTTTCAACTGTTGGATCTACTCGAGCCCTCTTCTTTCTGGGAGGCTGAGGAGTCTCACTGGTACTGCTCCCCTCTCCAATTCCTGGAGCTGCACAGAAAAAAGACATTATGCTGCTTAAGAAATCTGGTGAGCCAGTATGGAAAAAACAGTAACAAAAATCAAGAAGGATTCAAAAGTAGGACCTATTTCTTTCAGGTCACCTTTTCACTTTTTCTTTGTTTTGCTTTGAATACTTTTATTCTGCAAGGCCTGCATGTTTGTGGCAGTTTAAGCTGCTTTATTTACACTTATCTGAGGATGGAGGTTTCTGCAAGGTTATATGTCAGTATCTGTAAGGCTCTTCAGAAGAATCCTCTGGAACCAGCAGCTCAGCTTTGCAGACATGTCACATCTACCTAAGCTTGACTTAGAAAATTATTTCAGCAGCTCCATGGCAAGATCCTTTTGCTTTTAATTTGCTAGAGCTCAAAATCTTGAGAGTGTACAAACCAGGAAAGTGTGTTCCTCCTGACCAAGAGGAAGGGACACCTGAAGTCCAAGAGGAACAACACAAGGTGACAGCAAGTAAAGGCAGGTGAGGCAGCCAGGACTAACTCCAGCTAAGAATCCTTCACTAAGGATATCCACTTATATACAAAATAAAGACATACTTACTTTTCTGTTTGTTCTTTTTTGTTTTCCTGCAAGAAGAACACAAAGTATTGAAAATATAAAGATAACAATACTTGAAGAACCTAAAGTTGAAAGCCAGAAAAATTGTCCACTGTGTTCAGAACAACGAGCAAATACTCAGTGGCCTATGGAACATTCAGATAAAAGCAGATGGAAGGAATGTCAGGGATTATTTAGCATCAGTTATGATATTACAAGACTGTTCATGTACCAGGTTACAATTTGACATTTGGGGGGCAATCACTAAACTTTAATCTACAAAACCCTAGCAGGATTGCCAAGAACACAAGAGCATTTACAAACAGCTCTGACACTTACACAGGTGACAGCTACAGGTGTTCCACATCTGTCAAGTGCTCTTGGAAAACTACACTGGATTTTTAGGTGTTTTATTTCAGGGATCACTTAGAGGCAGAATATGGGACAAGGAAACAGAAGTGCTGGGAATGATTAGGTAAGTCTCAGTCAACTGAATTAACTTCCAGTAAAGCATCAAACCCCACAGTTTTGGCACTAGAGCAGTAGAGGGAAGTTCAGGCAGCACTACCAGAAATTCAGGCAGGAAAGCAGCAATTCCAACAGCAATTTCATCAGCAGCTCTCAGGGAGATCACAATTACCCTTGTCACTTACTAGAAATGTTTGGGGTGGTACTAAATACCATTGTCCCTACTATTAATCTTCTTCCAAATGCTTCTCTCGACACTTCTGTTTTTAATTTACACACTTCTCTACAGTCTCTATCCTTAGTCCTTATTTTTATTCCAAATTATTTCAAAGTGTTAAAGACACCTGAAACACAATGCTCACACAAATACTCAGATAGGTCAAGAGTATTAGTGACAAAATTGAACTGCCCTAATAGGTATTTTTTTTATTATCTGAACTTTGTATATTTACTAACCATTTTCAGCAGTTTCATTAAGAGCATGACCAGTCACCTCTCACTTTGCTCACTGGCAATAGGAGTCCACTTAAATCCCTCAAAAAACCTGCAGATTGTGTGGACAAAACTCTACCAGTACAAGATTACTTCCTTGGAAATTCACCACTATCTGAAGTGACTTGTGTTGGGGCTTTGCATGGGGTTTATCTGGGTCAGGAAGTGGGCAGGGTTTCTAGGAAGGTCTGAAGACAGGAAGAGTCAGGCTGTTTCCAAGCTTTAGGTCACAAACAGGCATCAGGCTTAAGCTGTAGGTAGAATAAAGATCATTCTCTCCAGGAAGGAGGAAAAATTGCCAAGTCAAGTCACTGATAATGGACTCATGTATTGAAGAGCAAGTCTTTTCTTCCAAACCTAGAGTAAACAAGGAGGAACTGGGAGTTTTTTCCAGAATTAAAGTCACAAGATAAAAATGTTCAGCATTGGTCTAGAGGCAGAGTCTTTAAAAAAAAAAAATCTGGGACAGGCAACATAAAGTACTTAAAGATCTGCTGGCGTTAAGACTGTAAACCATGTCTGTTACTGAAGCAAAAAGTCTAGCATAAACTATTCCAGGCAGTTCCTTGGGCTCTCCCAGCTCATTCCTTCTACTTCCTGATTCTTTATGATTCAAGTCACATACCTCAGCTTCAGGTCAAAGCAGCCACCATCAGCAGAAAACATTACAGCCTACAGAATGGGTGAGGACAATGACAAGCCATAGAGCAAAGGTGACAGAAGGAAAAGCACAACACTGAACTTCCAACCTTAGTATCCAAAACAGGCCTGTGCTCACCACCAAATGGTGAGACTAAAGTGGATGCCACAGAAGACAACATAGTGAAAGACTACACCATTGCAGATGTTCATCAGAAGATAACCAACTATCTGTCACAGAACCTCAGGCACCACCTCAAGAAGCCAGCAATCTTTGCACAGAAGAGTTGGTGTTAGTGTTCAGAGCCCTACACTGCAGTGTCTTCTGGGACATGTCTAGAAAACTGTCAGTGGAAAATGGCTTAGAAGATAAATTCCAACACAGCCAAATGACATGATGAGAAAAAACATGACTTTGGAAGGTTTACTTACTCAGTTAGGAGTCTGTGACCAGGTAGGTAAAAGGTGTTGTGTGCAATAGCAAATATTTTACTTTCCCCAAATCCATGTGCCTTTTAGAGGGACTTAAAGGTCTGCTAGAAACTCCCTATGACAGCTGGTGAAGGTACAGGCAGCAGAGAATGAAGGTAGCTACCACTTGGTCTCAGGCATTTGAGTTCAATACATCTGGCAATGCCAGAAAAGGAGATGAGGTGCCAGTTTCCTGATAAAACAACAGTTGTAACTGAGATGCATTAAACCATGAAGTCTCTCCTAATGCAGGGTAACTAGTAATAAAAAAGTAAATGAAAATGTTCAAGTGTGAAAAACAAGTATGTTGAGAAAAGAATGAAAGCTACTGCTGAAGCAGCCTGGTCACTAACCCAGCTGTGAGAAGCAGCTTTCCTATCAATTGCAATTAAACCATCAAACATTATTAGCAAAGGGGTAAACCCTAAAGTTGGACTGTACCCACATATGCCTCCTGTGCCTGGCCAGGCAACCTGACCTTAGGAGGCTCTCAGTAAAACTAGAAGAGGTAAAGCCAACGAAGACTAGTTGATATACAACTGCTTCTATATGAAGAAGAACCAAGCAGACCAGGGCTTTCTCAGCCAGACAACTGAGGAGGAAGAAGGGAAAATTGGCAGAGGTCTAGCTAGAGATAAAAGGTGAAGCTTGAAGTACTAATCAATTTTTCCTCAAGATGGATGAAAAAGACCAGAAGACCAAAGCAGCAGACATCAAAACACAGGAGGAGTAATCCTCTTTCCTCCCCTCTCCAGCATAGTTCTGAATTGAAATGAGAACACTGCCTCAGGATGCTGGAGATGCCAGCAGCCCAAATCAGAAGAGCAGGACTGCCCTACACAGGGTTGTTAAACCATCACACAGACAGAGTCTCCAGCTCCTGAGTCCCCTCATTACAGGCTGCTAGAAGCAAAAAGAGGGAAAGCATCATTCCAAACTTGATGCACTTGATCATCCCTAAACACATGTGACTGAAGACCACCAGACAGCAGAAGAGCTTGGGAAGATCTCCACTGGAGCTGGTGGAGATATTCTATTGCTGTCACAGCCCCAGAGAGCTGGCTCAGAGGCAGAATTCACCTGCTGCTTGACATGCAGAGGAGCTGCAGTAGCTTGGGAGCCACCAGCCCTGCCAAAGGGTAGCATGGGATGCCACAGGAGACATGCAACAGGAGCAACATCTTCAGATTGACAGCAAGAGCTGCTAGAGGAAAAACCAGGAACTCCAAGTCATGATACTGTTTTGAGAGCATCTCTGTTGAGACTGCTTGCATGTATCTCTTAAAACCAGATGCTAGTCTCAGATTTGGTATTCAGTGCCACCTCTTCCCTCAGAACACTCTCAGCTGCCCTTCTTGTTTTCCATTAACTCTGACTGCTTACTGATTTTTTTGGAAGTTACCACATTAGGCCCAAAGTTGCAATTCAGCCGGACTACATATGAAGCAGTCTGGAGAAGCCAGAATCTGTCCTGCTGTATTTCATTTCTGGCAACCTGCTAGAACTACACAATTTATTTTTTTCCATGATGGCTTCTAGTTACCATGAGATAATTATTTAAAAACAAATGTATACAACCTGCATTTCATGCATATTTCTATTTGCTCAAATATTGCCACAAATATTCTCAAATGCTTTTTGAGCCCGTTTACAGAAGCAGTTATTCTGTACAAACTCAAGCCAGTGATAAAAACAGAGCATGTGAAGGAGCAGGTTCAAGCTTCCCATGTCTGACCCCATCTCCTGCAGCAGCCTCACTCCCAGGACTTAAAGTTGTCCTCCCCTTTTTAAACAGTGGACACTGAGTGCATTTGGTGCTCATACTGTACCCTAACCCAAGTGACAAGGCACACATTTCAGAGAAGATAAAGCTGGTAGTCCATACTGGCTTTCATCACAGAATCATCAGCCGGACTACATATGAAGAAGGGACCTTAAAGATCCCCAGGTTCCACCCTCCCTGCCACCAGCAGGGACACCTCCCACTAGACCAGGCTGCACAAAGCTTTAAAACACACAAACCAGAAGGATTTACTGCAGTACTTATAATTATCCACTGAATTGCCACCAAAGCATTACAACTGAGGACTTTAAGAGTCCCTAAAAGAAATCTATGAAAGCAAGGAGATCTGGATTTCAGGATGCCAATCCTGGTTTGACAATCCATCCTTAACTCACCGCGTCGATATGGTAGGGGTCTCCAAACAGCAAACTGTGTGCGCTCCATCTCGTCTGAAAAATCTAGGCACAATGGGGGTTGAGTTAAGGAAAGAATGTCAGACCTAGTGGTTCGCCTTAAAGAGACTCTGTTGCAGATTCAAAAATTTACCTTTTTAGCAGCATACTATAGTCTTACTGAACATTCCTGGAGGATATGTTGTGGGTTGCTACTCCCTTTCTGTTATAGTTTGGCTACCTGGAGAAGCCGTTCCAAAACACAAGTTTCCTTTCCCTTTGTTCCATCCTCCAAGAATGCTACAAAAGGTAAATTTTGAGGCCCGAACAGGCTGACAGTGTTACCCTTTTACAACAGTTGTGTGATCAGTTTCTCCCCCTCCCCACCATCAATACTTCACACATCTGCAAGGACCTTAGATTTACCACAGAAGAACAATCCAGAAGTTTGATTTTAGAACTGTATTTTGAGATTTTTTTTTTCCAGAAGCCATCTTGCCTTTAGCTGCAAGCAGGATGTGAGAAGCAGTGGTTTGATCAATAATACATCAGTATCACAATCCTGCATCACTGCTCAGGTAAATCAAAGTACCCTTCTCCCTCAGACTCCAAACAGGGAAGAAAAACAGGGAGACTTTGTTGAAAGAAGCACAGGTCTAATTTAGAAGGATGCATTGGATGCTGGTAATGGCTAGAGACTAGGAGCAAGATCAGTGCAACAAGCATATGGGGCCCTGGTACAAATAACTTCCACAATGCCAGACTGCTGCTCTAGTGACAATAGCTCTGCTTCCTCCCTTTGACAACTCTTAAAATCCACCAATTAATTTTTCCAATCAGCACAAGCCAGAAGTTTAAGAGAATTAGCTTATTGTCTTGTTTGGCTCTGCTGGCAACAGCCACCCCTGCTTACCCCAGCGATGACAGCAAAAAGCAAAGTCACTCCCTTTCCCCAGCTGGTTCCAACCAGAGCAGACAGACATGGGCAGGTACTTTCCAGCTTGAGGGTTACACAGAGGCTCTAGAGGAAGGCATTTTGCTGCATGGATCTCCCTTGGATGCAGCCTTTTTAGATGTGGTTGAGAAGATGAAGCCAACTTTGATGTCAAGTGCAGGTTGGCCTTTAGTATTTACTCAGCCAGAGAGAACAGCTTGCCTCACTGCAATCAAACTGAGCTATAAGATGACTAAAGCTGCCAGCACAGGGAACCCAATCCTGAAGTTATTGCTGGGGTTTCTCTATAATGCAAATCATAGACATTTACTATTGAGTCATCACTGCCTGTGTCAGAGTTACACATGAAATTAATTCCACTCCTACTGACTAAAATGCAAGACAACTCAGGTGCAACAACCCCTGAAGCAGCCAAATTAGCAATGACTGTAATTTGGATCTGTTTCAATTAGATTGTAATGACATTCATAAGGAACTGCCTATTGGGGCAAATGAAGACAAACAGGTGACTAGGTCCCTGTCAGAGTCTGTCGCGAGCTGACAGAGCACCCCACGCTGGCGGTGTTACAGCACCTCAGGACGTGCAGCATCAGACCAGAAAGGATCAATGCACACAGCTCTCTGGCCAGATCCACTGGACTCTCCATTCCAGAGACCAGGAGCCAATTTACAGCCTTGGTGAGGCTCTGACTATCCCCCAAGTGAAATCTGTATTCAGGATCTAGAGAAAAAAAAACCCAAGAAAAACAACTGTACCCACTACTGCTGCACTGCCCAAATCAACAACCCATATTTCAGAACAAAGTTGCCCATAAATGAGACACAGAACCTGAGGCTGCTGCCAAATGCTCTTCCCAGGAAGCAATCTCATTCCAGTAGCTTCCTCATGAAAACTAGGAATTTAATGAAGGCAGGAGTTCAAAGCATCTCATTAGGCACAGCCATCTTTACCACTCAGTGATGTGTTACCCCCAACAGAAGAGTTTCATGGCACACGAGCAAAGCAGCAGAGCTGCACTGACTGACAGAACCTGAACATCACACCACACAAGCTATTCTGAAAGCCAAAAAGGATGAAATGAAAGAAAACTGACAGTTACATCCTGAAATTATTTTTTTCTAAGAAATGTCTGAGCTTGCTTCTGGTCTCTTAAGATGTAAAATCACTTTTAATAGCATAGGAGCTGAGTTTTTGTCAAAAATGGCAAAATAAAGACTCCTCACATGCAGTTTTAACAAGTGTTCACTAAGAAGGCAAGGCATTTTAAGGATTTAATTCAAAAGTGCTTGCACAGCTTGGAAGAACTGTAGAATTCTCTATATTTCACCAAGATACACAACTCTTAGGAGAACTCACCACTTTTTGAGTGTCAGTTCACTAACTTAAGAGGAATAAAGTGCAAAAAAAGCACAGAGTGTTAGTATCTACTCAGGACCTTGAGTCACTATTAAACACTGCACAATCCAAGAGCAGTTTCAATAAAATATTTCAAAGGCCTTTTGGTTACCACAGAAGTGAAACACACCTTTTGTTTGGGTTGTGTCAGAATTAATGGAGTTTAGTCTGCAGAACCATTCTAAGAAAAATACTGTTTAGAGATCAATAGTAAAACTGACAAGCAAAAGTTTGGGAGGTGTTGGAGGTAGGTTGCTTCCTTGTCTTTTTTTTATATGAACAAATAAAAAACTTCTTACACTTCAACATTTTTCTGCTGCAGACCAGAAGTCTTCTTGCCTGGAGCAGCACCTCTCATCTTCCCCTCTGCATATTGTTCCCTTTAAAAAAAAGGAGTAAGTTTTTAAGTAATACTTCAGCAGAAAAAGAAGCTTGTTTTCCCTTCAAGAGTAACAGGTTATGCAAAACATGCAAAGAATGTCTAATAAATGGCTTTGTGAATTGGTATGTGTCATGTGCAGGAGAAAATCCAACTCTCAACCTAAATGAAGAAGATCTAGGCTGCTTCACACAAGACTGAGCAGTATGAACACCCACTTCCCCCCTCCCACCACCCTTGTTATTCTGAAGGAGGAGGAAGCAGCACACTCCTTTTGAAATACATAAAACAGCTTATTGATCAAAATGTATTAAAGAAATAGAAGATCAGCACTGATAAAAACTCAACTCTTTGTAGGCCTCCTGAAGCTGCCCAAGAAGATCCCTTCCACTTCACAATGTATCTTAAGGACACTGCACAGAGGTCATTTTTAGCCACCTGATTTCCACACTGCAGGATACACTTGCTGCTAGGCTGTCCCTCCATTTCAGCAACCTACTTTTCCTTAAAATCTAAGTAATAATTTAAAACTAAGCAGCAGCTTGCTCTTTCTAAAAATAAGCTCTATAAAAAAATAACTTATATTATTTACTGACAAGGACTTGTAACACAAATGCTTACTGGTTGGCCTTTTGAAGTTCTTTTTGTTTCTGCAGATTGGTATCCACGTACTTGAGCACTCTGCTTTCTGGAACCCATTCATCCCAGCTGAAAAATAATATAAACAATTACATGATCATTCAAAAACCTTATATCACTGCATTCTACAAGCAACAGTCAGTTAAAAGTTTCACAGAATCTGAGACTGAACTCTGCTTTTGGGTGAAAACATGGACTGGCACAACTGAAAGTGTAAATAACCAAACACATTCCCCACTGACTGGAGCTGTAACAATTTCTCTAGGGAAGTGTAACCCTCAGTCCTTTCTAAAGAGCTTCCCAACCTTGAAGGATGGGCAGGTTCAGAGGGAGGGGACTGTCTTTAATTTAGAAGCATCATCTCAGGAAAAAAAGTTCTACAGTTACTAAATTATGGGACACCTGTAGCCATAACTGTATTATGCAGCAAGTTTCCTTTATCTATTCCAACATTTTATAGGGTAACAAATTCAGCAATAGGATCTTACTGTAAGAAGAAGAGCTCTGATTTCTGTCTGTGAAGGGAAACCAAGATAGCATGAATATTTGAAGAATCTGAAGTGAATGATGTAAAAGAACAGGTGTTGGGGAAATTGCCAGCAAGAGCAAGAATTCCACTTTGACAGAGCGGATAATTGGAGTAATCTGACAAATTATTTCAAATAAAACACATTGTAAGTGGCCAAGTTACTGTAAAGTATGCAAGTTAAAGCTTTTTAGATTAGAGTTCTGTGTCATTTTCATTCCATGGCAACAGCTGCCAGTCTTGGTGTACCAAGGTGGCAAAACCAACCCTACTGCAGGAGCACAAGGTCTTCCAAGAGTGTTAAGACAAGGCAAGCTGAGCATCCAAAAGTTAGAGAAACACAGGCCCAGCTGTGCACATTCCAAGACTATGTTTTTAGGATAGTGCTTTGGTCAGATATTTAAGCCACTTATCTGAATCATGCCTGTACAGCTGCAGGAGGCCTTCAAAATTAGTCCTATATAACTGAGCAGCACATTACACTGGCTGATGAAGAACCTTTTTCAAGCTGTTTATATTTTCAAAAAAATTACAAAATCAAGCAATTAACAAGTAGAAAGAACCATAATTATATAAACCAAAATTAAGCAGTAATATTGCCCCAGTTGCCTGGTGCAGCAACACCACTTTCAATGTAGTTAATTGGAAGCTTGAAGGCAAAAAAACTCAAAGAACACAAGCAAGAAAAGCAGGAGTGATGGCATCACTCAGGGCACCCTCAGCAGAGATAAACAAGGAGAGGAAGTACCAAATTAGTGCTGCCTCATTAATACACAGAAGCCACTAGAGGGACCAGTTATGCTCCCTATAACTGTTGGTGTTGACAAGGAAAACATTTATCTGCCCATTTGGCAGGGAGGGTGTGCAGATGCACTTAAAAAGTTACATATTAAGACATGTTGGAGTCACATCAGTGAGATCAAGATACGAGTGACTACAGGTCTCGAGTCTGCAGCACTGAAATAAAACAACAATCAACAAAACAGAACAGAGTGCCCTTTGAAAGGCTTCTGGAGTCTGAAGGCCAAGGCTTTTAATTGCTAAGAAAAAAAGAGTGTCCACTTTTCCTAAATTCAACTTACTGGGAGAACAGAGTTCAAATGAAAGAAAAAAGACAAGTACCTAAATGCAATCATCTCATGACAGTATTCACCCAAATGGGATGAACACTCATTTTGTAGAGACATCTTTGTTCTTCAGAAACCTCTCATCTAGCATCCTACCATTTTTGCAGACTGGAAAAGCATCTACCTTTACCTTGGCATGAGAGGCAAGAACTGGAAGACAGGCCAAGCCTGCTCCTGCGAGGGACTAGAGAAGCCAGCCCTCCCTACTCTGGGCACAGGCTTCGCCAAGGCAGCCCCTCCAGATCTTTGCTACCAAAGCAGGATAAAAGCCCACTGTGTGTCTGAGCAGAGGTCTGCTCCACCTCAGTACAGGCTGCCTCTCCTCCCACATGTAACAAGGAAGGTTTTGTACTAGCTGTTTCTGCCTGGGAGGAATCACAGCATCTATTTTCAAACCTGAACAAACAGAACCCTCCAAAGCACTTCCAATAGTCTGCTGACAGCCTGAGCCAGCCTGTCTACACAGCCAAAGCTCCAAAGGGAATGGCCAGCTGGGCCATGTTTTCTTTGTGATACTACAAATCAAGGGCTTATGTATAAATATCATTTAGGTCAATTTCAGAAACAATTTCCTAACAACAGGGACACAGCAGTACCAGTCCCTCAAGCTCCCATGCAAACTGACAGAGCCTCCATTCTCCTGCCAAGGAAAAGGAAACACTGCTTTCATTTTATTCAATACTTACTTTTTATTCCAACCACTGTAATGGATAAAGTATTTCACTTGCTTGTCCTTTATGGCAACCTTTACACACTGGAACAGAGAAGAAAGTTCAGTCAGTACCATGAGAACAAAGATCTGAATGAACTTTGCTTTTTTAGCTCTCAGAGTTTAAACATGCAGAGACTTCCATGCAAGCAACTGACAACCCAGCAGCTACTTCACAGCAGAAATAAGTTCTCTAACCCCAGTTACTGCCTGTTTACAGATTTGGGAGGGCCAGGCAAAGAAGTGTCTCTGCTGAGCTATCCAAAGGGACACCTTCCTTCACAAGAAGGAAGAAAACCCCTGAAGATGACTAGAAGAGTAACCAAGCAGTGACTTCACTACGCCCAGGTTAGCCAAAGCCATTCACTAGAAGCTGGTTCACATGCAGGCCCCTACCTCACAGACAGGGAAGCTGGCTGAAGTAGAGGAGTCTTCAAAAGTAAAATAAATAATATGGATCTCTACAGCCACAGAGAGAGCATTATATTCAGTAGAAAGAGTTGCAGTAAGGGCCTTTTCTAGGTTAAGAAATTATACATAAGGTCAATAAAAACAATTATTTCCATCAAAAGACTGGCCTATGAATACAGCAACTTCCTTATATATAGAGATTAAGATGAGACTGTTAAAAAGGGAATAAATACCCAACAAGGTCACTCCAGGCACTCCACAATACCACTCAGGTTCAAAAGCACCCCTCACAAAGTTTCCTGCCCCAAGGCTGAGCACAGCCCTCCTGCCAGCCTGCCAGCCTCCTCCTCAGCTCAGCCAGGGAAGGTGCTCAGGGGGGCTACAGCAACTGTGCACCCTGCCCCAAACCAGCACATCCCCTCCTGCCCCAAACCAGCACAGCTCCCTCCTGCCCCTGTGCTCTGACACCTGAGAGCTCAAGCTACCAACATCTCCACAACAGATAAACTCAGCCAGAGACAGGCCTCTTCCTGCAGCAGCAGAGCCCAAACAGGAACTACACAACCCACCTCGTGTCCCTGGACTTCTGAGCTACATCAAATTATATCCACCAGCTTAACTTCAGCTTGGATAAGGCATTTGATCCAGGCAGGTATGAAGTCTTGCTCTGGATGCACCAAGACACAGATGCCACTGTATTCCCTTCAGCAGTGCAATAATGAGAGTGGTGTAACACATGAAGAGTCATCCTTTTCAGCTCTAGCTTTTGGCCCCTTTTTAGGGATTTTTCCTTATATATAGAGATTAAGATGAGACTGTTAAAAAGGGAATAAATACCCAACAAGGTCACTCCAGGCACTCCACAATACCACTCAGGTTCAAAAGCACCCCTCACAAAGTTTCCTGCCCCAAGGCTGAGCACAGCCCTCCTGCCAGCCTGCCAGCCTCCTCCTCAGCTCAGCCAGGGAAGGTGCTCAGGGGGGCTACAGCAACTGTGCACCCTGCCCCAAACCAGCACATCCCCTCCTGCCCCAAACCAGCACAGCTCCCTCCTGCCCCTGTGCTCTGACACCTGAGAGCTCAAGCTACCAACATCTCCACAACAGATAAACTCAGCCAGAGACAGGCCTCTTCCTGCAGCAGCAGAGCCCAAACAGGAACTACACAACCCACCTCGTGTCCCTGGACTTCTGAGCTACATCAAATTATATCCACCAGCTTAACTTCAGCTTGGATAAGGCATTTGATCCAGGCAGGTATGAAGTCTTGCTCTGGATGCACCAAGACACAGATGCCACTGTATTCCCTTCAGCAGTGCAATAATGAGAGTGGTGTAACACATGAAGAGTCATCCTTTTCAGCTCTAGCTTTTGGCCCCTTTTTAGGGATTTTTTCCCACTAAAGTAAAAAAATTACTCATAAAAGTCATAATTGCTATTTTCCATGCTAACTGAGCTACCCCTAAGTATTTAAGAGGGCAGAACCTCAGGCTGCAAAGCATTTTCTCAAGACCTTCTTGGTGACTCCTTCCTGCACCGTCTCCAATTAAAAAAAACGTGCTTATTAAGAGAGAGGAATATCATATTTCAGCACTAACCTCCAAAATGCCACAAATGGAGCTTAAACTCAGCCTCACCTAGACTGCCAAATACAGACTGTTGTGCCAAATACAGACTGTGCTTAAGCAGCACCTACTTGTTTTGAAGAAGGTGAGAATGCAGTAAAAGAAGATTCAAATATATTTCTATATCAAAACATTTTCTTTCCTGCTGGAGGATAGAAGTCTTAAGTGAATCCCATTTAACCTTCCGTTGTGCAGAGATGTAGAACAGTTACTATTTGCCATCATTTTTCATACCACTCAAACACAAATGTCCTTCTCTGCCCATGGTGCTTTGGGGAGTGCAGGGTATGGTTTGTCAGGAACAAAATAACTTGTGCATTGAGAATCACAGAGGAAAAACAGACCAGAGGAACACGAGGAAAGCAAAGGTTATTATTCAATACTACCTGCAAAGTATCTTTGCAAAATTAAACCCAGTTCCTTCCGCCATTCCAGGAGCCCAGAAGGATCCAGACTCTCAATATAGCCAGCCAAAAGCTTATCTTGCCAACTGGAAAATCCCTTCTAGCACCAAGCTGGCTTGTTCCACCCTGGTGTGAAGGAGAATAGGGGCACAGCACAACATGGAGAACCACACCACTACTGCAGCTCTGTGCTGCTTAATTGACCAGAGTAAAGACTGCTGCTGACAGGAGTTTGTTTCCACAAAAAACAGAAGCCCTGATTCTGCTCCTCTCTGTACCAGCCCCTGGGCAGGGGACAAAACTGAGCACACACTCACAAAGAACACATCCTCTAGTTCTAGAGCATGGAAGAGAACAGAGCAGAATCACTGAGAGGAGAATGTTTTAGACAAGAAATACTCCGAATACTCTGGAGAAATACTGTGAATACTCTGGAGGTTATTTTCTCATTAGAATGACTATTTCCTGATAGCATGACAAGAGGCATCAGGTACTTCTAGCCCCACTCCCACCTCTCCCAAGTTGTCCCATCAGTCAGCATTTGACACTAACACCTCATGGATTTACATCTCTCTTGAAGGTGCCTCAGTGACTTCTGCAAGTCCTCTAATCCACACAGCTGTAAAAGCCCTTTGCTTCAATCCCAGGGGGAGTGGGAACAGGCAGTCATGTCAGGAGCTATTCCTTCAGTAAAGCAGATGGCAGTGACACCTGCTCAAGGCCCAGAGGAAGAGCACCCCATGGAAGTGTTGCAGCAGAGCCCTGCAACTGCAGCAGGAAGGATGCTCCCCCAGACCACAGATTTGCAGTGCCTGGTTTTTGAGGACAAAAGGCCAGAACTAAGAATGGCATTTCCTTCGTCACTTCAATCCAGCTTTATTTTCTGCAGCATTGTCCCATTTGAAGACCACTGATTATACTCAGCCACCTCCACCTCTGAGGAGGCTCAAACTGCAGCTGACTCACTAGCTCATGCATTAGCCCCAGCACCAAGTCCCACGGGCACAAATGCTTCCTGGTGCTCTGGGAATACAGGTGGATCAGATGCCCACCACTTAAGAGCACCCAGCCTGCAGCAGGTGGCCAGCACAGCTGCACAGTACCACTGGGCTTGGTAACATTTTTCTATAATATAGAGCTCTGGGATTTAAAATTAATTAATTTCAAACATTATCAGGTTTCACTTAATTTTAGTTTCAGTCCTTAATCCCATCTCTTAAGGCACAGCAGGTACACTAATGCAATTCCTTATCTTCTTAGGGAACAGTCAGAACAGCCACACATACCTTTGCTTCATAAAGGAGAGGTCCATGAAAACAAAGCACTCGTTCACCTGAAAGAAAGTTGCAGATAAGCATCTTAGAACACCACCAATGTGCCACTCGTGTAAAATATGTTCCATCAAGCACAACACAGACCGAATCCTGCATCAATCTCAACAATTCCAAGGCAGATCCTGATTTGAGAAGCAGGCTGGTGTTTGAGAAGCAAATGCACTCTGTACAGAAGAGGAGCAGAACTCTGGTTATTCAAGGCCAAGAAGGGAAGGCTCCTGAGGAATCCCTGAAGAGCACTCGTGCAAGGGCATCTGTCTGCAAACCACGTCCCCGCCTGCCCAGGGTTTTGCAGAAGGGCTGGTGCCCTTAGCACACAACTGGCAACAAAACTTCCAGCCTTGCTCAGAGTCCAGCCCCTGCCCAGTCATTTCCAAGCACCAGTAAACAACTGGGGAGAGCAGCAAGCAGGTAGAGCTGTCTTACTGCAAGGGATTCTGCAGTCTCCCTGACACTGCATTTTGATTCAGGGGAGGAATTTAACTGTCTCAAGAGATGCCATCTCTGCATCTCCAGCTTCTGACACACACGAAAGCAAATGTTTGCAGCACTCCCTTTCCTGTGGGAAGCACACATACCACCTGGTATTTCTAGCTCAATGAAGTCAGGAAGAGACAGACCCTGACATTGTTTTCCCATCTGACTCGTGGGACAGAAGAATACCAGGTTTGTGCAGCAGCAAGAAAAAATGTTCACTTTGTGGTTTTTAAGTAGGAAGAGATTGTTCTTCAGTCTGTTTTTTCCCCTCAATAGCAAGGTCATCCTTTGCAGCGGGAATGTGAAGGTACTTAACACAGGATATCTGGGCACAGATGTTTCCTCCTTGAAAGCTGCAGTACCTCACATTTTCAAAGAGTCAAGCTGCATAATACACTCCAGGGTGTAGCACACACCCAGTCCTTGCCACTGTTCCAGGACACATGAGACAGGAAAGCTGTCACAGGCACCAGGTGCCTGCTGTGCAGAACACACAGGCAGGTACTCGTTCCACCTCCAAACTGGGCTGGGCAGGAGGTGTGGGCTATCCCACCAGGAACAGAACTCTGGATGCTGCCAAAGCTCCTCGTGTGGCCTGAAGCAGATGAGTAGGACTCAGACACCCCATTTCACCACCAGAGCTGGGAGACAAGCAGACACAGCAACAGCCTCTTCAACCAGCACAGCTGCTACCACATTTCACTTAACACACCCAGACCCCAATGAACAGCACACAACTATAGAATTACTACTTCATTCCTACTAGAATGAACAGCTCATGTTCCAAGATTTCATTACTCTCCAATCTGTAGGATCTCATGCTCTGCACAGAACTGAAACAATTATGCACAGTAAAGTCTAGGAACACAAAGCTGTCAAAGATGTTATTCAACTGGTAAAATGCTTCTATGCAGCAAGAAAGAAAAAGGCTTTAGAGAGGTTCTTGCAGAAGTGCCCACTGTGATACATTCAGTACTTTCATTCTTTATTATTAAAAAAACTGTCTTTATAATCAAGGCTAACCATCAGAAGTTACTGTATCATCCTGACACACCCTCGTGCTCACTAGTGCTGCTAGAAAACACAGCTCTAGTGCAGTTACTCTGCAAGGCCCTTCCAGGTGAGACACCCACGGTCCCTGCACTTCTCACCCTTTTAATATTACAGCTGACATCACAAACACAGTTGTGGAAAACAAGCCTACAAACTTGAACTTCTATACTAAATATAATTTCTCATATTCCTACAGCTGTGAACATCATTTCAGCCTAGAATTCTACTCAAGCTTTTTTTTTTTTCCCCTGTGGTTCACTTGGTTTCACATTATTGTGAACCATACATTAACATCTTGATTATCCCTGCAGGTGAATGACACCACTGGCATCACACGTGGCACAGAAAGCTGAGGCATGAAGCACACACCATTCCAGTGTTACTAAGCTACCCCAAGGGGCCACCCCCAGTCACCCCTCTGCCAGCTGAGCTTTTTACAGAGAAACCTCAGTTGTGTGAGAAGTCCTGCTGAGAAGCCACAGTGAGGGGCAGGCAGAGAAGGGGGGTGGGGTAAGTTCTCATTTACCCAGCCTTGTCACTGACCTGTGTTAGCATCAACCACAACCATCACCTAACAATCAAAATGTATGCAAAAGGAGTCTCAGAAAAAGCATCATCTTAACCCTTATTCACCCAAACAAATACATCTGGTGCTTTGCTGCAAACAGGGATCCAGCACAGCTACCAGCTGTAACCCAAACGCGGCCTGCGTGGGGATCCCGGGCTGAGTTCATGGAAGAGCAAATCATCACCATGTCACATGCTCAAGAAAATAAAAACGCTGACAGATTTAGAAGATTTCAACAGTTTAAATAACAATCAACGGCCACGTCTGCAAGAAAACAAAGCATACTTAGAACAGCAGGGGATGGGAACCCCCCCCCCGCCTTATCGTTAAGGAAGATGAGGAAGAGGAAGGGACACAAAGACCACAGGAATTCATTTTTCCCACAGAGCCTCAGCCGGGGCGAGCAGAGCAGGGAAGCTGAACCCCA